TATGCTTTTATAAACTGTTTAAAGGTACTTTTCTATTGTCATTTTAAAAAAATAAAATGTTTATTCCAGCTGTCACACCCTCGTTTGGCAAGTTCTTTTTTGTAAAATCAACCATACGCGTCCACAGTAGAATGAAGACCTGGAATTTCTTCCAATTTTTAGATTTTGGCAGAGCTTAGCACTGGCTATTGAAACCCAGGAGATTAAAAGAGGAAATGGGTAGTAATGGGAGGGCCAGGCGCATGCACACTACATCCGTTGGTCACTAAGGGGCTCAAGGTAGATCCATACACCTTTCTGAGCAGTTTACTGAACTCTTGATTACGATCCAGGCACCTTACCCTACAAAGCTTGAGCACAAAGTGTGACAGCTTGCTGGTGAGTCAGCCAGAACAAGTTTTCAGTACAAATATTACTTCATTCCAAGTTATTGCAACAACCACCAATAGTCTTGGGCACACACTTGTATTTTTTAGTTCTGTGATAAAGCATTTCACATCCTCTTTCCAGAAGAAACTATCCACCAAACACAAGTAACAGTCCCCGCCTTCTAATCCCAAAGAGTTCCTGAATAACTGGAGAAAACAAATCTGCAACCTTCCACATCCACCTCAGGCTTGGAGGTCCACACCCAGCATTGATCTCTGGGGAGACTTGGTCATGTGACTTTGCCCTCAGACCTTCTGTAAGCTTCCAAATCAGAAGCACTGGAGGCTGCCTATACACAACCCGGAACTATGGGCAGCTGGCTTTTCAGACATGTCACTGCCTTAAGCCACCCCCACCCCTGTCAGTCCTAGCTGAATGGTCATTTCCATGTGATTTTTTTTTTCATGAGGGCCTTGGATAAGAGTCTTGTCACCATTGTGCTGATGGTCATCATGTGCAAATCAAAGACTGGATGGTATTTACCAATACAAACTCCAGACACATTCCCACTGACCAAACAGCAGAGCACCAACTTCAGTACAATCCTACAAATTTTTTTCAACAATGTAATGAGCAAGAATGAATGTAGTGCCTTGGAATCAGGGACTCAGGATAGAAATAAAGCAGGTCTTCTTGCATTTGTTTCCTTACTGACTTGCAGTTATTAGTGCCATGTCCCAAGCCCCACCACCTTAAAGCATCCTGAGCTTTGTGGCACAAGGAACATTCCTAAGAGTGATGGCAGAATGTGGACATGGTGACACGCCTATAATCCCAGCCCTCTGTCTAGAAGGCTGAAGTGGGAGGATCACAAGGTCCAACCTACCCTCAGCAATTTAGCAATAATGAAAAAATAAAAGAATGGGATGGGGGGTGTAGCTCAGTGTGAGAAGGTCCTGGGTTCAATCCTCAATACCAAGGCAAACACAGATGGAGCCATAGCCAACATCCTTTCTATACCTCTAAACAAGAATTCTTGGTGTCTATGTCAGTAACCACAATCAAAGACTTTGGGCAAGACACACTCCATGCTATGAACATGAGCATTTCCTGCATTCCACACCACTGCAACTTCCAACTGTTTCTTGAAAAGGGCACTCTTCCCCCAGTTTATAAAGCATCAGCATACAGTTGCTCTCCCACATAAAATGTTACATAAAACTTTACATCTTTAGCCAAACAATTTTTATTACCAGTAGCATGTTCTTTGAAATACTGGTCCTCAAGATGCCTCTTAATAAAATTAATGATTGTGATGCTAAACAATTTTATGAGGACCCCAAATTAGGAAATTAAAAGGTTTCTTCATATCACAATTGGCACCTTATTGATATTGTTAACGCTCCCCTAAACTAGCCTGGGCCTTCACTATCCCAAGTTAAATTTATCCCAAAAGAAACTACTGTTCTGTGAACTCTACCCACTATTTGTTCTGTGTAGCTTGCAAGTGACACAAGTTGTCTTTTTTGGGCTGTCAAGATCGAACCAGAGTGACGGTTCTGCTCTATGGGAGCTTCTCACAAACCACAGCATAATTTGCCCATAAGGAAAAACAACAAAAGTTTCTGTTTTCCATTGTTGGCCCTTAGGGGAGGTCTGCTGCAGAAGAGAAAATTCAGTCCTTTTCTTCCATTTATAAAACTCATTCTTTAACTCTGCTCATGAATACCAAGTTAGAAACTCGATTTGGCTTAAATTCAGCCAGGTTTTCACCAGAGTCTTGAAACTACTAATTATAGGAATGTACAGGCCCCACCTCCAGATCAGCAGACCTGGACTAATACACCTCCAAACCAAAGCAAAGTCTATGACAGAGCAGCCCTTGCAAGTATGCTGAAGAGTGATCAAAAGACCAAGTTACTTCTCCCATCCAAGTATTTCCTATCTCACCTAGCTTAACTTCTAAGATCAGTCCTAAGTTCAGGCATGGTCCAGGCAGTAAGGCCATAGGCCAACAAATTCCAAATGGAAATCCTTTATATCCAGAAGACAACCAACAGCACAACGCCAACAACCAAAGGCCTAGTCTAATTCCATGTTTCTAAAGTGTGCTTCCTTCCAACACTCAACGCCAGGAACCATGATCCAAGATTAGTCCCTGGACCTCTCCCATCCCTGACTCCCACAGAACACCTCATCTCCTTGGACAGCTCCATGGTATGCACACAAACGAACTGTCCTTAGGGGAAGCTCTGGGGACAACGGAGGCCCCTGCTGTTCTGGGCAGAGTATTCCGGCTTCTTGGAAAAGGCTTGCTGGTCTTGGCTTATTAACATTCAATGAAATGTTAGAAAATCCCACATCTTCCTTTAAATGAATCATCTGAAAAGTAAAAACAGTAGTAACAAGCTAGTAGTTTCACACAGCTCAAAAAGAAATCCAGGGCTGTGCATGTGGAGTCCCTTCCCATGAGCCCTCGGATGGAAGTAACAGGAAGTTCCTGCACTGCCCCATCTGTAACCCTCTGCTCAACAGGAATCAAGTGCTTCCTGTGCCCAGGTTCCCATCATCTTTTGGCCACACTTAAATTCTGTGACAGCAGCAAGCAGATGTCCTTTTACACATCGTCTACGTTCAACTACATTTCCTTAGCTATCCCCTAAATGCCTTGGGTGACTGATGAATTATATCAAATGCACTGCAGACTGTCTGGGCCTATTAACTCACCCAGCCATGCTCATTCCCATTTGCTTCTGTTGGAGCAGATCCAACAGAAATGAGAATGCAACTTCAACTTGGAATTTCTGCTGGATGTTTTTAAGACACCCAGAAAAACTGCTAAAACTTGTTTCTATGTATTATGTATGATCATCAGGCACAACAAGGCTGCTATGGGATTGTCCGCAGAGACCATCCCTCCCTACACATCATCCAGTGAACAGTCCCATTACCTCAACAGAGGAGTTGCTCTTCCATGTTGTTGGCAAAGGGGATCAAGGCTTAACACCCCCCCCAAAAAAAAGAAAATGTAAGTAACCCCAATTTATAAGTGTGGTGATTTAACAACCCACCATTTCTCTAGAATTAGAAAGTCATAGTCTGATACCATCTCGAACCAGGATGCTCATCTTGCTGACCTGAACATCAGCTTTACTGCGGCTCAGACCTCACATCTCAGCTTCCTCATTTCTGAAGTCAATTTTAAACACAGTAAGTGAAGTCCATTATCAAGCCAGTTCACAAAGGACTGATGACTGGGGGCTTAGGTAAAAGTCACTAATGACACATCTGGCAGTAGAACATGTTATCTTAGAACTTGTGATGGAGGCCTTGATGTTGGTCTGTCTGCAAAGATGGTGAAATGTCTGAGATATGCAAAACACATCTCCAGACCCAGCCCATAAAACAGTATAGAGGGCATGGCCTACAAAACCAGGCATCTGCTTGGAACAGGCTATTCTAGATTTACAGGACATTGGTTTTAGGCTGTAAGACAGTAAAGGGCTTCCTTACTAGCAAAAACCTGAAGACACGAAGAAAGCCAAACAGGCTGAATTTCCTGTGTTCTAAAATTAACCATGGGACTTCAGTTTGGGACCATCTCATGCCATTTTGGCGGGTTTAGAGGTAAGAAAGTGGTAAAGCAAACAGCACTAAGTGAATGAGAAGCATGCATACAGAACAAAAACTAAAATAACATACCGAGATTGTTGTCTGATCTAGGTAGTCACTGCTTTGGATTATCATCACGCAATTTTTGAAAACACCAAACCTCATTTTTATAATCCAATACACCTGGCATGACACCTGCAAAAATCAAACCAAAGGACCACAGAAGACCATACAAAAAGTACAGAGAGGAAAATGTACAGCTTGCCAGAGAGGGCAGGAAGAATCCCAGTGATTTTCCCGTACATACTTGGCAATGGTTGTCACAAGCCAGGCCAGTCATGAGCATCAAAGGGCATCTTCATCAGAAGAACCTCAGTACAAGGCCTGTGAGGTCTAAGGCACAGTAAAGCTGATATTCAGGTTCAAGATGGTATCAGACCATGACCTTCTAATGCCAAGAGGCTAAGCACAGATTCAGAAAGCGGTGCATTGCTTAACTGCCTGTGCTCACCTGCCAAACCACATGCTCAGAAGCGGTGCAGACCTGGTCTTCGTGATGTCACAACACAGGCCCTGGGCAAGCCAAGGCCTGGCACTGCTTCTTGTCACTTCAAGATGAAAAGAAACAAACTGAATTCACTAACTTCTTAAAAATCCTTCTATGATGATTTTATTATAAATATGTTCTTTTGGAATAAACAAATATTGCATTCAAGACTATGCCAACTTGCTCTGAAATAGTAAAAGGAAAAAGGGAACCAGGGACCATTTAGAAGTAGAGATAAATAGCAAAGACACCTGCATGCCATGCTAAGTCCCTTTTTCCCCCACCCCGAGAAGAAACAGGAGGATAACAGGAAATAGCACATTCTCATTAGCCTATTTGATGGAAATAAGCTTGAGGTTGGTAATCTGCACTTCTATAAACTGAGCTGAGCTGCTCCTCTTCAGTCCTCAGCAGCAGAATGGGAAGAGTCCAGATCTGAGCATCAACAAGGACGGTCTTGATGGTGTCTGTAACTCTTTGTTCCAAGACAAAATCTTCCTATTTGCTAGGAGTAATGTCCGAGTAATCCTTCAGCACTCCAGCCATGTGTTCATTGTGAGTCTTAAACCGTCGCTTTTTCTGTGAAGCAGGCTTTTTCCTTCTCTGAATAGGGGCCTAAAATAAAAGGTAAAAGCAGTCAGAACAAATGGACCATGGGACAATATGGTCAGGGTGTAAAGAGCAAGCCCAGAAGCAAGGATGCAGGAGTTTGGACCCTTCCCCTGCTTTCATTCGCTTCATACCACTCACAACACAACCAGATTTGGGGCCTTTCATTACCATGAGATGCAAACTTCCATCAGGAATAAACAGGCCGGCACAAAAATGTACCAAAAATATTTTAGGCACTACGTGTATAAAGTAGAAGACAGGCAGTGCCAAGTCTTATCTCTGCTATTAAGTCTAAAAATATGGAGTTTATTTTTTATTTTTTTGGTACCAGGGATCGAACTCGGGTCCTTGTGTTTGCGAGGCAGGTGCTGGAACCACTGAGCTAAATCCCTGGCCCTAAGTCTAAAAATATAATGCCATTGCCAATTAAAAAAAAAAAAAAAAAAAAAAAATGATTGCCAATAAAAAAAAAAAAAAAAAAAAAGATCTAAAGTAAATCTCAAAAAATATTGAGATGTGGCAAAATGTAGAAAAATGGTTAGGCGCACAATGGTTGATAATATTCTCTATGCTCAAAATACCAGTATAATATGATTCTTTAAAAATCAACAAACTAAGCCATGATAAGAAATCATGAAAGGCTCAGTGGAGCTGTGCCTGCCTGGCAAGCATGAGGTCCTGAGTTTGAACTCCAGTATTGGGGAAAAAAATCATGAAAGGCTGGAACTATACTCATTCATGGAGAGATCAATGGCAATAAATCTCCTTTATATGAGTCCTAAAATTTCACACAGAAAATCCCACAAAGAGAAGCAGCTACAAAGCACGATGTTGTCGAGGGAAAGAAGAAAGGCACCACCGCAAGTCTTGGCGGTGATGGTGACCCGCTTAGAGCTTCGGTGATAACAAACACGGGCGGCAGCATGTGTGCCGTAGGGGTTTGGGTCAATCATCCCTGCCTGGCTCTGTTCCGGGGCTACAGATAATGTTGGCTGCTGGTACAAGGCAATTTACTAGTCTTCATTTGATAACTAATGCCTCCAATGTGCAGGACTGGGGGCTGTAAGACAAAAATATCTGGTTCCCAGGGAACCCGAGAATCTACATCGGCAATTCAGAATGATCAGAGCTGCAGCACAGCAGGTGCCACGTCTGTATAGTTCCCACAGAAGGGGGAAGAGGGGCACAGGAGGTGTTAAAGGCCAAGCAGATGACCATGCAGCTTGCTTTTAGGAGCTGGGAGAAGCACATGCAGAGGGTTAGAGGTGAGAAACTAGGAACCACAGAGGTTCTGGGAACAGGAGCTTGAGTCGCCACAGCCATGACGGGCTGGAGGGCGACAGGAAAGCTCTCGGGGATAAGGTGGGCACACTGGCCCTCGATGACATCAACGCACGATCTCAGCTGTGTCTAAGTCACTGCAAGAGACACAGACAAACCTGGAGAGGATTAACTTATTCTAGAGGTTACACACCACTTTCTTTGGTCCAGATTCCTGCATGGAAGAAATACCCTGTCGCTTCAGATATTCTTCAATTTTCTCCTCATCCATCGAATCCACAGTAACACTCCTCCACAGTTTCTGGAATTCTGTACCAATAAGAAAGTAGTTACTTTACCACTGATATTTACAAACCACAGCATCTGCATGTTGGTGACAAAACCTAGGCTTCAGACTTGCCTTCTCTGGGCCTGAATCAACAGGGTGATTTCATTCTGAGTGAAATCTCAGTGTAGTGAGATTTCACTACAAAAACAAGTAATTAGACAGGCCTGGCGGCATAAGTCTGTCATCCCAGGACCCTGGGAGGATAAGGTGGAGGATCAGAAGTTCAGGCTCAGCCTGGGCAACTAAGCAAGACCAGGTTTCACAGCGGGGACAAAAAAGGAGCTGGGGATGTATCTCAGTGTGGAGGCCCTGGGTTTGATCCCTAGTCCTACATATAAACAAATACATACATACATACATACAATAAAAACAATTCAACAAAACCAGAAACAATGAGATAAGGCAAGAACATCCGAGCGTGGAACACCGAGCCACAGAAGAGCCTGCGAAGAGAATGGCATCAGTCAGTATAGACCCGAGCAGCCAGCAGCCGGGCTCTATTTCTGGACACCAGGAAATAAAGGGCGGTGTGAATGAGGCCTCCCTGCTTTCCAGGGGAAATAAAGCAACTGACATCTTTTATTCCTAAAACCAGTTCCCACCATTTTGAGAAAAATAGTTCAAGCTCTTTCTTATCTTCCCTGAGCTTTACACACCACCTTCTCAACCAATGAGAATTACAATGGGCTTTATATGGAAGTGAGGTGCTGTAACAATTTAGTTGCAAAAAACCCTTCTGCAGTCAAGCAAGCAGGGAATGGGTGAGGAGTGCAGGGGGTAGCCGAGAACAAAACCCTGTCTCACACTCACTACAAAACAAGGCTACCACCCCACCTACTCCAAGTCCCCAGAGTCTGTGGCCTCTGGATAAGCAAAAGCAATCACAACTGGGACATATATAAAATAAAAGTACTGTACTCTGTTCCTTAAATTCTGCTTACACCCAAGCTCTAACAACTGAGCCTACCTCATTAACAGCATCTACTTTCAAACACACAAAAAAAACTTCTTGTGACAGAAAAATCTTAGATTTATGCACTCCAGGCAAGAAACAAAGGGAAAACTCCCTGAGCCTTGAGTTGGCTTGCTGGCCTGGCCTCATCACAGACCCTCAGGGAACTGAACCCACCCCTTCCTTTCAGGGCCATGAAATTCTGTACAGCCTGTGCACAAGTAATAAATGAAGTGGGCACCCAATCTGGTGCTGGACTAGATTTTTCCCTTCCTTCCTTTTTGGTTACTTCAGTACATAGTACAAGAAGCAACTGATAACTGAAAAGAACTACAGTGAAGCTGCTAGTAATGAAATACAAAAACCAAAATAATCTACTACAAAGAACTGATCCCAGGGGCCAGGGATTTAGCTCAGTGTTTCTGCCGCCTGCTTTGCAAGCCCAAGGTCCCAAGTTCGATCCCCGGTACGAAGAAAAAAAAAAAGAATTCAACCCAGGTACAAAGTTACTTAAATCTTAAATGTCTCTGAACAAGATTTTTTAAATTTCTACAGATATATATTGAGGGTTCTTTCTCCTATACAATTACAGACATTATTTAACTTACAGCAGGTGTCTGCACAACCTCTGCAGACTCTTGAGCATTAACAAGCTCCTTGTGAGGAAAACACTCTTTATTTTCATTCAATATCAGGCAGCAGGTGCTGGATTTAGCATGCCAGGTCCACCACAATTTCACTGTGAAATACTACTATCTACTATGGCCTAGACACTACAGGGTGATTTTTTAAAAAGTCTTTAAACATTTATTAGTTTTTGCAGTATGGAGGATTAAACCCAGGAGTGCTGAACTATATCCCCAAACCCTTTTTATGTTGAGGCAAAGTTGCCCCACATAGCCTTGTACTTTAAGATAATCCTTCCATATCTTCCCAAATAACTGGGATTACCAGTACTCACTCCTATACCTGGCACTTTCTGAAACCTTTTGGCTTAAACATCATTTTACATTAACAGAAAGTTAATGCTAATACCTTGTACAATTGCATAAACGCTGAAACATTAATACTGACAAAACGGCACTAACGAATGGAGGGGCCATCTCTGAATCTCGCACCAGTCCTTTTCTGGGCCCTGGATACAAACCCCAGACCCCACACTGCGCCATGGCCCCGACTCCTGGGTGTCTTGAGTACACCTCGTCTCTGTGTCTCATTCTCAAGAGCGCTGGTCAGCTGTTCTGTAGAAGTGCCTTCAATCTGGGTCGTCTGGTACTTCAAGATCAGATCTAGGCATTCTGTTTTCTTTTTACAGAAATCTCTTTTCTTCTTTGCAAACACAAAATGATTAGAGAACATCAAATGGGAAAATGCTTCAGAGTTTAAAATTACAGAGTAATTCCCTCAAAGTTTAAAATTACAGAGTAGTACATGCAGATGTGGCCAAGGTTCAACCCCAGGTACTTTCTCAGTCACTAATTTGCCCAGGCTAGGCTCAAACTTGAGACCCTCCTGTGTCCATCTCCCAGGGTGGTGGGATTACAGACATGTGCCACCATGCCCAGCCCATTTTTGCCATTAGGAAGGGGGGGAAGGACAGAAGGACAGACAGGGAAGCATAATCTCAAATAGCCACACAACAACATGCCTTCTTCCCTTTTCGCTTGTTATTAACATGCCTCCTTTTACCATCATTTTGAGGTCCAGAAAATAAGGCATTGCTCAATTTAGCTCATCCTTTAAAAGCAGTAATCCTTAATTATAAACACTATCAAAATTATTTCTCATTTGATTTAAAAGAATGCACCCCTCCCTAAATGTCCACATCTTAACCAGAACCTAGGAATATGTTGTTACCTTGTACAACACAGGAGTCTTTGAAGATGGAAGCTAAAAATCTTGAGATTGGGAGATTTTCTCAAGATTTAGATTCGGGATTCGGAAGAATTAACAATTTTTAAGGACCAAGTTTTTTTGTTTTGGGGGTGTGTGTGTGTATGTTGTGGTGCTAGGGACTGAACCCAAAGCTGGGCAAGCACTCTATGCTGTACCACTAAGCCATACCCTCTAGCCCTAGAAGAACAAATAGTTCTAAATGCTAATACTCCCCCCAGAGCAACCTACAGATTCAATGTAATCACTACAAACATTCCAATGCCATTTTTCATAGAAAAAGAAAAAAAAAATTCTAAAATTTATGTGGAATCACAAACACCATGAACAGCCAAGACTGCTGCTATGGTCTGAGTATGATCTGCTCCCTCTGGAACTCAGGCTGAAATCTAATCTCCATTAAGAAACATTAAGGTCAGGCATGGCGGCACATGCCTATGTCCCAGCAGGATCGTCACCAGTTCCCTGAACTACATAGCGAGACTGTCTCAAAAAGCAAAACCAAACAACACAAAGCATTAAGAAGGGGGACCTTTCAAAGGTGACTTGGGCTCTGCTCAATTAATGGATTAACAAGTTCACTCAAGACTGGGTCTACTATCCAAGTCAGGCTGGCTAGGTCTCTGGTTTGCTCCCTGACTCTTCCAATGTGAAGCCCTGTACCTTCCTGGGACTCTACTAGTGAGAAGGTCATCATCAGAGGTGACTCCCCAACCTTAGGCCAAAACCATGAGCCGAAATAAACCTCCTCATAACCAACCTCTGTGACACTGCTCTTAACAAGAGAAAGCTGACTTAGCAATCTTGCATAAAATGAACAAAGCCACAGTCATCGAAGCAGCATGGTACTGGCATAAAAATAAACATCAACCAATCGCACAGAGTATAAAGCCCAGAAATGAACCTCAACATTTATGGTCAACTCATTTTTGTCAAAGGTGTCAAGAACACGCAATAGGAAAAGGACAATCTCTTCAATAAATGGTGCTGGGAAAACTGGCTATCCACATGCAGAACAGTGAAATTAGACCGCTTTTTTCATACCATATACAAAAATCAACTCAAAATGGATTAACGATTTATGATGTAAAGCCAGAAATTAAAAATACAGACAGCCTCTGACTTACCATGGTTTGACATCAGATCTTTCGACTTCAGGATGGTGTGAAAGCAACACCCAGCACAAACTGCTTTGAATTTCCATCTTTTTCTGGGTGAGATGCAGTGATACTCTCTCACAATGCTCCCAGTTAGCCACACAATCACAAGGTCAAAACTATGACATTCAGTAGTTAGGAGAGTTAAACTCCGTTTGTTTTCTGAGACAGGGTCTCTCTATGTAGTTTGGGCTTGCCTGGAACTATGCAGCCCAGGCTGATCTCAAACTCAGTGATCCTCCCGCCTCAGCCTACTGAGTGCTGGGATGACAGGTGTGCACCACCAGACCCAGTTCTAAGTACATTTTAAACTTATGATGGGTTGGATCAAGACATAACTGCACCGTAAGTCAAGGAATAGCTATTCCTAAGAGAAATGAAAATGTCCACATAAATACTTGTATAAGAATGTATACATAACACTATTTATAAAAGTCAAAAAGTGGAAGCAACCCAAATGCCCATCAATGAAGAAGCGTAAATAAAATGTGGCATAGGAATGTAACATATATCTCGTGCGCTAAAAGCACGTGATACTCTGCATAGTCCTAAGACACTGCACAGCTGCTTCCCATTCATTTCGATAATGTTTTCACTTTATTTGATCAATAACTTTTTAACCTCATTCTAATTTTTTTCTTTGAACCATGAGTTAAATTGTTAATTTCCAAATAAATGTTTTCAAATATATGTCTGTTACTTATGCGCAGTCCAACTCCATTATGGTCCAAATACATCCTTTGTATACTTCTGATTCTTCTAAAGGTAATTAAAGTTTGTCTTGTGGGGCTACAATACATTCTTAGTGAGTAGTCCATGTCCTTTTAAAATGATTACTGTTATTAGGTAATCTTTTTTAAATCTCAATTAGGTCAAGTTGATGAGAGATGCTGCTGTTTAGGATTTCTGTATCTCACTACTTTTCCAACTGCTTGCTTTTCTTTTTGGTGGTGGTGGTATGATTCTTTTTATTCTTTTG